ACACTTCTCTGCCTTCACATACAGGTCGTGCTCCACCAGCCTCCGCAACACTCTGCGCACCAGGGCCACATGCTCGACACGGGTAGGTGAGTACACGAGAATGTCATCAATGTACACCACCACCCCCTGCCCCTGCATGTCCCTGAAGATCTCATCCACAAATGATTGGAAAACTGACGGAGCGTTCATCAACCCGTATGGCATGACCAGATACTCGTAATGGCCCGAGGTGGTACTAAAGGCTGTTTTCCATTCATCACCCTCCCTGATGCGCACCAAGTTGTACGCGCTCCTGAGATCTAATTTCGTGAAGAAACGCGCCCCATGCAACGACTCAGTCATGGTCGCAATCAGCGGGAGTGGATAACTATACTTCACCGTAATCTGATTGAGACCACGGTAATCGATGCACGGGCGCAAACCACCATCCTTTTTCTTCACGAAAAAGAAACTCGAGGACGCGGGGGAAGTGGAAGGCCGTATGTATCCTTGTCTCAGCGATTCGTCTATGTAAATCTCCATAGCTTTCTTCTCCTCCTGAGACAGAGGATACACATGGCTCCGTGGGAGCGCAGCTCCTGCCTGGAGGTCTATCGCACAATCCCCCTGCCTATGGGGTGGCAACCGCGTCGCCCTCGCCTTACTAAACGCAATAGCCAAATCCCCATACTCAGGTGGAACGTGCAATGCGGGCACCTGGTTTGGACTCTCCACCGAGGTAGCCCCTACGAAAACGCCCAAACATCTACCCACACACTGAGCAGACCACTCCATCAGAGCCCTCTCCTGCCACGAAATCGCTGGGTTATGGGTACTCAACCAGGGCATGCCCAGCACCACCGGATACGCAGGAGAGTCAATCAGGAACAGCTGAATCATCTCCTGATGATCCCCCTGCGCACACATCCTAAGTGGCGCCGTGACCTCCCTGATTAAGCCCGTACCCAACGGACGACTATCTAGGGCGTGAACGGGAAAAGGAACATCAACAGGACTGAGGGGAATCCCTAACGCTAAACAAAACTTTTTATCAATAAAATTCCCAGCCGCGCCTGAATCTACCAGCGCCTTATGCTGGGAATGAGGTGCTACCTGTGGAAAACGTACAGGCATACAAAAATGGGCAACAGTGAGCTCTGGGTGAGTGGGGCGCCTACTCATCTGGAGGGAATCCCCAGTGCGGGACCTGTCGTCATCTCCCCTAGGAGGCCATCCCCAGCACCTAGCCACGGTGTGTCCTCCCCGACCACAGTTGGTGCAGTGGATGGACCCCCTAGCCTGCCGACTCCTCCTCTCTCTAGCGCCAGCGCCCCCGAGCTCCATAGGACACGGCTCGGAGGCGCTGGAGGGTGAAATGGACGGACCCTCCGCAGGACGTCCGCGGGTAGCCAGTAGGTTATCCAGCCTGATGGACATGTCAACCAGCTGGTCGAAAGAGAGGCTGGTGTCCCTACAAGCCAGCTCCCGACGGACGTCCTCTCGTAGGCTACATCTGTATAGATCGATGAGGGCCCGATCATTCCACCCTGCATCTGCCGCTAGAGTACGGAATTCGAGCGCGAATTCCTGGGCACTTCTCCTCCCCTGCCGGAGGAAGACCAGACGCTCCCCCGCCGCTTTCCCCTCCGGGGGATGGTCAAACACCGCCCTGAAGTGGCGGGAGAACTCGTTGTAAGTAATCGTCGTGGCGTCGATCTTCCTCCACTCCGCGTTGGCCCACTCCAACGCTTTTCCGGCCAGGCAGGAGATCAGGGCGGACACGCTCTCATGCCCTGAAGGTGCCGGGTGCACTGTGGCCAGGTATAGCTCCACCTGGAGTAGGAATCCCTGACACCCAGCCGCGGTTCCGTCGTAGGCCCTCGGGAGAGATAGTCGGACTCCTCGAGGTTCCGGCGCTGGAATGGGCGGGCTGGCCGATGGTGCTGGCAGGGCGGGAGGCGGTGGAGGCGTACCCCAGCCTCGGAGGGTGGAAATCACCTCCTGCAGGGCGGTCCCCATCTGCAGGAGCTGCTCTTGTTGGTCCCGAACCTGGGCCTCCAGTCTCGTCTGGGCTGCTTCGGCTCCTGCTGATTCCATTGAGGGTGTGTAATTCTGTCAGGGCGTGTTGTAGGTGTAATGTAGGAATCAAACGCAGGACTCAGACTGAATGTTCCAAAGGCTGTATTACTGGCCAAACTAAGGCAACAGGACAACTAAGCCCGAAAGCGAAAAAACACGCACGAAGGCGAAAGGTAATTGCGCACAAACAGGTGCGACAAAATGTAACTGTGCACACACAGGTGCGAAAATGCTCCAGCACAGTGGAGAATAAGCTCAACCGAGCAAAACACAATACTGACGGAAATAATTACACACAACACTAGACAAACACAACGAGAAACTTATAGGACACTAATTACGCCAAAACAGAAACAGGTGTGGAAACAAACAGACAAAAGCAAACGAACATGAAACATATAGCGGTGGCAGCTAGAATTCCGGAGACGACGAACGCCGAAACCTGCCCGAACAAGGGAGAGAGGCAGCCTCGGCCGAAACCGTGACAGTAGGTAATACTTTCTAACGGTGCTTTAAAAAATATATATATCACATAGTAGAACTGCATAAGTGTTGCTCTCCACTTAGAGTATGATAGCTAAGGAGATGGAGAAAATTCTGCTGTTTGATTGCAAATATGCAGACAGAGTCAAAAAGAGAACACACAGAAGGCTGTTGTATAAAACACCTGTCTCCTGATTACATCTTCAAACTAAGGGCAACCATGGCATCCGTGACAGAGGGTGAAGTGTCCATCCATGTATACGGGTAAGATAGTCTAGCTAGCTACATTTTCAGATATTACACGTTTCTAATTTTTTCAGAAATTCGTTTTCATATCAAGTTAAAGTGTACTGTTAGCTAGCTAGCTAACGATATATGTATGATCTGTGTAGTAATATTATTTGTATCTCAGAGCGATTTTCATTGCTAGTTATAGCCTAATGTTAGCTAGCTAACATTGAACTTGGTTGGTTAGCTACCTGCAGATTCATGCAGGGTAGTAATGTTATGAGTTGAGGTTATGGTTCATTGTTTAGCTAGCTATATGTAAAAACAAGAGACTCCACTATGCAAGTAACCATTTCAATAGAATGTTGATGATGTCACTGCGACAACTGTTGATAGATGTAGCTGGTAAATTCACTCTGGCTATCTACTCCAATTTCAGAGCACTCTCGTCTGAGTGTGCCAGAGCGCAGAATAACTGACAAATTTACCAACACTCCCTTGAATATGGCTGGTGTCAGTAAACGTTGGCAAAAAAGCGTAATTAAATTGTTGCCAGCAGCACATTTGCAGTCACCAACGCTCTGGATAACATAAAAACAGCCTAACCAGCTCTGCTAGGTTGAGTAAAATGGTCAGAGTGAGCTGTTCTCTCATTTGTGTCTGGAAGTAGCTAGCCAATGTTAGCCAGTTAGCTTGGGTGCTTGACTGCTGTTGTTAGGTCAGAACGCTCAAATCAACCCTAATCCTCGGCCAGAGCGTCCAGTGTGCGCTCTGAATGCTCCGAGAGCGAAACACTCTAAATTTACAAACTGACAATCTGAGTTCACAAATGCCCAGAAAACCCGCTTGCACTCCAGATAAAATTTACGAACACACCCGTAGTATAAACCAGCCTTTAGTCTTTGGTTGTTTAGTACATGGCCTCACATGTGAATCCTTAAAGAGATGGGTGGGGCTAAAGCTTAAGAGGGTGTGAACGATGCTGAATGGGTGTAGACAAAGAGCTCTCCAGTATGTGTACCAAAACATTCAAGGGCCATTTTCTCAAAAGTGCTTTTACAAGCTTATCAACTTTCAAAGCAGAATTACTTTCCCATTGTTCCTCAACTGTAGGGTATGATATACCAGGATAGGGACAATAAAAAACAAATCTGGTTAGGCTATCTTGATCTCTGGCTCCCTCTTGAGTAATTTGTGTCTTTATTTAATCAAACAGCATTAGACAGGTTCAGTACATATAGTTGATTTTATTATAACACATAGGGTGTGTCTATATATGGAAAAATACACTTTCTTAAAATGTAGACCAATCGATTGGTCCAAAGAAAAGACTTAGATTTTTTTGAGTTGGGGACAGCCCTAGTAGAAATGCCCAAAATTGTGCCCCTGTCTATATGATTCTATTCTAACATGAGGAGGATTGCGACGAGTCATACCTCCCCCTCTGTACAAAGATGTCAGTCTGCTGTTCTTATTTTTGCTGTTCTAATCTCTTCTCTCTTGCCTTCTTAAAAAGCCAGCTCGAGCTCCCGTAATTGAGACGACATGGCAATAATTGAGTCAGAGGAATAACAATTTTTAAATGTATTTCTCGCAGGTGACAGGCCACAGATGAAACAACCTCCTCTTTAGCAGAGCTTTCTATTTAAACCCACAGTATAGGAGCCCAGCTCTTCAAATTTCAGTTTAAGAAGTTTGGAAAAGAGTTTGATTTAAATAGTAAGGAGAACTTCACCAACTAGGTGCAATTAAAATACTTAAACATAGAGACATGTTCTTCTGCAGCTCCTATGCTGAATGCTATGTTAACATATATTGTATAAGCACATGCTAGAAGTGCTAAAAGTAAAACTTTGAAATAGACATGTATTCACATAACATTTCATTTTACGCCTACCTAGCTATATAGCTACATTACAGGTATTCAAGCAAGCTTGATAGGGCAGCAAGAACGTACATGGCACATTTAACTTTAGAATGTCGACGGGCACTACAGAAAGCAGCTGAAGTTGTTGGAGGAAGAGTGGAATAATGCCTGTGTTCATTTCAGGTAGTCGGTTGAACGGACAGGTTATATCTACTGGAGGCTCTGGGGAGAAGTTCCCCCTAGGTACAGATCTAGGATCCCCTCCCCCGAATTTGAACCTTAACCATTAGTGGGGAAATTCAAAATTGACCTGAGGTCAGCGTCTAGGGGCAACTTCACCCTACTCCATACTGGAGGGACTCTGCTATAAAATAGAGCAGCCCAGGCCACCTTTCCGCTGGCACTTGAGCAGCTTGAGAAAGGTCTCCATCTTGTGGGTGTCTTTTTTGAAGCAGGTCAGTAAGGTATAGTCCCTGAGCACCGACTCTAACATGTCAAAATGCACAGGGTAGTCTGCCAGGCTCTCGTTCTGCTCCAGCATCACAGCACCCTCACCCAGCATCTGCAAGAAAAGATACAGCACGTTCATTAGCTTTAAAACAAACCAAAACAGCTATGTTTGGGGAGAGAGAAAATACTGTACTGTACTGATTTTTGTATGTATTTTGTCAAAAATACTTCCAAAAGTGCTTGAGACACTATGTGTTAGGATATCTCATGAAAGCAATGTGTTGTATGCACATCTGTTTGCAACAGTGATATGACCTATGACTCGCCTTTTGGATGAGGATGGTCACTCCTTGCTCCAGGTTCATCAGCTTGCCTGATATCCACTTGGTTTTGCTGATCAGTGCCATGGGGGCGTTGTCATAGCGATCTAACGAAGTCTGCAGGTTGACCAGGGGATCAATCCAGAACTTGATTAGGAACAGAATGGAGTGCAAAAGCCACTTGTCCTGCAAGAGAGGCCCAAATAGAGAAACAATGGCAACAAGCTCTTACAGTCAACACAAAAACCCATCATATGCAGAGGATATTATGAGCAAGATGCATTGAAAGATTTTCTTTTAAATTAAAAACAGCTGGCAATGTAAATACAGCCTTTGCCTCTCTGTCACCATGCCCACTTACAGAGTTTTCTTGGACCTCACTTCTGGAGGTGGGGATGGATAAGGTGCTGGTGGTGCACGCGTTCTCTGTTCGACTCAACGGAATTCGAACATGGAAGGGAATAAACATCTCCTCCTACACGGAGTCAGAGAGAGAAATAGAACAAAGAAAGAAGAAAACACTAACAAAGACTGGCGCGTAGCAAGACCCTTCCAGCATAAGCCATCTGTTGACGAGAAATGTATTTGTGTTCTGATCTGTTTTCATCCAGGGAGTTCACAAACCTCACTTCCCTACCACACAAACCATACTGAGCTTTCCAAACGGGACGTTATAAAGGATATTTTAACAGCGACAACATATGTTAGTTTTTTTTAATAAGTGTACACGCTTCATATCATTCTATACCGGATAAAACAGTTTTTCAAGTTCTCACTGGGATCTTCAAAGACGTGCAGTTTGATTCAGGCATTAGCAATAGTAATAGGTTTATACATCTAACACTTCTCAGAAAATACTACAGTTATGATTATTCAAGTTTGAATAAAGTTATGAAGACATTTGGCATGAGCTCCATCTACATCTCTGCATGACAGATCCATATACAAAGGAGTGATCCAATCGATCAAAATCAAGAGAAAGTTTGAATGAAAGAAGACAGACCAAGACAGACGTGAAATGTTATAATAACCTGTTTCCAATACATCTCAAATGTATTTAGAAACTAAACATGCACTCCAAACTAGCTATTCATGTGTTTGTGAAAGCAAAGATGAGGTAGAATGCATTTTTAATGTGTTACAATTCAATTTGTGCTACAATTTTTTTTTTTTATTGTTGTATTTCCAAAACATTTTTTTTTACATACATTTCCGGTAGGGTGTACTCACAAACAAGGTGAGAGACTCCTCTGAGACCAGGTAGATGAGCTCAGCGTGTTGGATGGCCCGGTCCAGGAGTTTCTCCAGGGAGATGGTGCAGTGAGCGCTGCCAGGATCCTGACACTTCGCCGTAGACCCCGTAGTGCCCTGGAAGGGCCAGAGTAGTAGCAACACACAGCCATGCAGAGCTGGGGAGCACACGGCAGACAAAAGGTACACAAACACAGGTCATGGTTAGCATACAGGATGTTCTCTTTTTGTACTAATTGTCTCTCATTCTCAAGGACTACAAGGTGACACATCTATAAACCCTCCTGCGGTGTCTGCGTTTTGATGTTGTGCTAGGGTTAATAGACAACAACACTTTAAGTGCAGGTGAGTAATATTTTTGGGCTAGTTTAGAAGAGTCATTCAAAGTACTTCAGGAGAATGTGCAGTCCGTTCCAATTAACATGTGTGATTCGGAGGTCACTTTGGGTTTGTTGTGATTTCTGTAGCATTTAAGAGGATAGACTACCTTTGTTGTTCATTTTGCTGGTTTTGAGGCGAAAACTACACTCTGGATAACCTACCTTGTTTTGACTGAAGGTTTCAATGGTCTTCTTATACTATTCAGGTGTTATGAATGGCCATGAGGGGTCGTGTGGCTCCAACGTAAGAGGGGCCGAGTTGATCTTTAAAGACCATTTCCCTTTCTTGTTTTTATGCATCATCTTCTCCTGGAAGGAAAGAGAGAACCATGAATACCAATTTTACTGAGCAGGAATAAATAAATGAGGACGAAAGATTCTTGCTTTAATGTATAGTGTGTGGGTGGGAAAAACACTTTGAATGCAATAAACATGAACCAGTTCTCCACCATAAGATAAAATAAGATACTTTATTAGTCCACGCGAGATAGAAATGTGTCTTCTGATTTTATCCAACCCCCCCACCCCAATATATACACACACACATAGGCCATCAGATGTCCCCAGCTAGCACATTTGGTTCCTTGGAAGTTGTGGAAAAGTACATTTTTGGTTTCCCATTGGTTCTGGGAACAAAGCCATGACCGGTAAAACATAATGTTTTTTAAACATTCTGAGAAGAGAAATGAACATTTTGCTTGTTCTGGGAATGTTTATTTTTAGGTTGCAGGGAGGTTCTGAGAATGTTTTACTTTGGTTTTTAATAACTTCCTTAACTTTCACTGAATGTTTCAATAGGAGTTTAACATTGCTAGCTTATTTTGGCTTAACTCCAAGCACAGATAGGACACATGGAAATCAATGTCCTTAGGCATTACTCATGCAAACACATCAGTGAGATTCAAACCTATAATCTTCTGTGCTCTATGCATGGAATTAGTCCACTGCGCCACCAGCATGGAGCTGGCATGCCATGTTTTTTTTACACATACAAAGCTGCTCATTTTAGCCTATTCAAACAGACCCAATTTCAAAGGAAACAAGCACTCATTAAGATCAGGTGTGGCAAATGTCACACCCTGGCTCTGGGGACTCTATATGTTGAGCCAGGGTGTGTAGATTCTATGTGTTTGGTTTCTGTGTTTTAGTTCTATGTGTGCTATTTCTATGTTGGCCAGTGTGGTTCTCAATCAGAGGCAACGAGTGTCAGCTGTGGCTGGTTGTCTCTGATTGGGAACCACATTTAAACTGCCTGTTTTCCCATAGTGTTTGTGGGATCTTGTTCCGTTTGGTTTGTTCCGTGTTGGTTGTGTTTAACCGTAGGACTGCACGTATCGTTTGTTGTTTTGTTTGTATTATCTCTGACGATAATAAAATATGTTCGTTCATCACGCTGCGCCTTGGTCTACTCCGTCGAACGAACGTGACAGAAGATCCCACCACACCAGGACCAAGCAGCGTGTCCAGGAGCAGGCAGCCTGGACGTGGGAGCAGATAATGGACGGGCAGGGGTCCTGGACCTGGGAGGAAATCCAGGCCGGGATGGATCGCCGTCCATGGAAGGAGACGGTAGAGGCGCGACGGAGAGAGGAGCAACGGCGTCAACAGTGTCGTCGTCGGACGGACGAAAGGCAACCCCAAAAATGTTTTAGGGGGGGCACACGGCATGGGCGACGGGGCAGCAGGAGGCAGCTACAGGGCGTATTAGGAGGTTAGGTGAGGAGGCCACCAGGTTAAGGGGGCTATTGGTGCAGAGGGAGCAGGAGTTAGTGGTGCAGAGGGTGGAGCTACTGGAGGCGATAAGGGAGAAGGTGAGAATAGAGGCACGGCGAGAGGAACTGGGTAGGCAGCTGAGGGAGCGGAGGGTTATGACGAAACCCAGTCCCGCTCCTCACACCAAGCAAGTGGTGTGCATCACCAGTCCGGTCTGGCCCGTTCCTGCTCCCCGCACTAAGTTTATGGTGCCCGTCGCCAGCCCGGCCCGGCCTGTTCCTGCCCCTCGCACCAAGCCTACGGTGCGCATCGCCAGCCCGACCCGGCCTGTTCCTGCTCCCCGCACCAAGCTAATGGTGCGCGTCGCCAGCCCGGCCCGGCCTTTTCCTGCCCCTCGCACCAAGCCTACGGTGCGCGTCGCCAGCCCGGCCCGGCCTGTTCCTGCTCCCCGCACCAAGCCAATGGTGCGCGTCGCCAGCCCGGCCCGGCCTGTTCCTGCTCCCCGCACCAAGCTAATGGTGCGCGTCGCCAGCCCGGCCCGGCCTGTTCCTGCTCCCCGCACCAAGCTAACGGTGCGCGTCGCCAGCCCGGCCCGGCCTGTTCCTGCCACTCGCACCTAGCCTACGGTGCGCGTCGCCAGCCCGGCCCGGCCTGTTCCTGCCACTCGCACCAAGCCTACGGTGCGCGTCGCCAGCCCGGCCCGGCCTGTTCCTGCCACTCGCACCAAGCCTAGGGTGCGCGTCGCCAGCCCGGCCCGGCCTGTTCCTGCCACTCGCACCAAGCCTACGGTGCGCGTCGCCAGCCCGGCCCGGCCTGTTCCTGCCACTCGCACCAAGCCTAGGGTGCGCGTCGCCGGCCCGGCCCGGCCTGTTCCTGCAACTCGCACCAAGCCTACGGTGCGCGTCGCCAGCCCGGCCCGGCCTGTTCCTGCCACTCGCACCAAGCCTACGGTGCGCGTCGCCAGCCCGGCCCGACCTGTTCCTGCCACTCGCACCAAGCCTACGGTGTGCGTCGCCAGCCCGGCCCGGCCTGTTCCTGCTCCCCGCACCAAGGTAATGGTGCGCGTCGCCAGCCCGGCCCGGCCTGTTCCTGCTCCCCGCACCAAGCCTACGGTGCGCGTCGCCAGCCCGGCCCGGCCTGTTCCTGCCACTCGCACCAAGCCTAGGGTGCGCGTCGCCGGCCCGGCCCGGCCTGTTCCTGCAACTCGCACCAAGCCTACGGTGCGCGTCGCCAGCCCGGCCCGGCCTGTTCCTGCCACTCGCACCAAGCCTACGGTGCGCGTCGCCAGCCCGGCCCGACCTGTTCCTGCCACTCGCACCAAGCCTACGGTGTGCGTCGCCAGCCCGGCCCGGCCTGTTCCTGCTCCCCGCACCAAGGTAATGGTGCGCGTCGCCAGCCCGGCCCGGCCTGTTCCTGCTCCCCGCACCAAGCCTACGGTGCGCGTCGCCAGCCCAGCCCGGCCTGTTCCTGCTCCCCGCACCAAGGTAATGGTGCGCGTCGCCAGCCCGGCCCGGCCTGTTCCTGCCACTCGCACCAAGCCTACGGTGCGCGTCGCCAGCCCGGCCCGGCCTGTTCCTGCCACTCGCACCAAGCCTACGGTGCGCGTCGCCAGCCCGGCCCGGCCTGTTCCTGCCACTCGCACCAAGCCTACGGTGCGCGTCGCCAGCCCAGCCCGGCCTGTTCCTGCTCCCCGCACCAAGTTAATGGTGCGCGTCGCCAGCCCGGCCCGGCCTGTTCCTGCCACTCGCACCAAGCCTACGGTGCGCGTCGCCAGCCCGGCCCGGCCTGTTCCTGCCACTCGCACCAAGCCTACGGTGCGCGTCGCCAGCCCGGCCCGGCCTGTTCCTGCCACTCGCACCAAACCTACGGTGCGCGTCGCCAGCCCGGCCCGGCCTGTTCCTGCCACTCGCACCAAGCCTACGGTGCGCGTCGCCAGCCCAGCCCGGCCTGTTCCTGCTCCCCGCACCAAGTTAATGGTGCGCGTCGCCAGCCCGGCCCGTTCCTGCCACTCGCACCAAGCCTACGGTGCGCGTCGCCAGCCCGGCCCGGCCTGTTCCTGCCACTCGCACCAAGCCAGGGGTGCGAGTCGTCAGCCCGGTAAGGCCCGTTGCTGCTCCACGCACCAAGCCAGGTGTGCGAGTCGTCAGCCCGGTCCGGCCCGTTCCTGCTCCACGCACCAAGCCAGGGGTGCGAGTCGTCAGCCCGGTCCGGCCCGTTCCTGCTCCACGCACCAAGCCAGGGGTGCGCATCGTCAGCCCGGTTCGGCCCGTTGCTGCTCCACGCACCAAGCCAGGGGTGCGCATCGTCAGCCCGGTCCGGCCCGTTCCTGCTCCACGCACCAAGCCAGGGGTGTGCGTCGTCAGTCCGGCACAACCCGTGCCTGGGTCACCGGTGCCTGGTCAGGTACCGGTCAGCTGCTCCACACTGGAGCTTAAGCAATCCGCTCCTACGATGTCCAGTCCAGCTCCAGCCAGTGGGGCCAGACCGGACCAGGGGCGCTACGGGGGGATTATTGGAGGGTGGTGGGCAAGCCCGGAGCCGGAACCGCCTCCGAGGAGGAATGCCCACCCAGCCCTCCCCTGTTTGGTTTATGTTGAGGCGCGGTCGCAGTCCGCGCCTTTGGGGGGGGGGTACTGTCACACCCTGGCTCTGGGGACTCTATATGTTGAGCCAGGGTGTGTAGATTCTATGTGTTTGGTTTCTGTGTTTTAGTTCTATGTGTACTATTTCTATGTTGGCCAGTGTGGTTCTCAATCAGAGGCAACGAGTGTCAGCTGTGGCTGGTTGTCTCTGATTGGGAACCACATTTAAACTGCCTGTTTTCCCATAGTGTTTGTGGGATCTTGTTCCGTTTGGTTTGTTCCGTGTTGGTTGTGTTTAACCGTAGGACTGCACGTATCGTTTGTTGTTTTGTTTGTATTATCTCTGACGATAATAAAATATGTTCGTTCATCACGCTGCGCCTTGGTCTACTCCGTCGAACGATCGTGACAGCAAATTAGTGGGCCCGGCCAACACACCTGAACTCAATTAACAAAATAGAGGAGAGAGAGTTTTGTTGATGCTGAGAACGAAATGTATACTGTATGTTTTTAAATGACATTCTTAGAATGTTCTCTGAACGTTACTAAAGTTGTGTTTTTTATGGAAAACCTGACTTTAAATAGAACCATGAGGAAACGTTATGCTGAAGTACAAAAATTCCCACAGAAGAACGTTGTTCCTTAATGTTCTTGGAACAATTAGAGATCATGACTTAAATAGAACCATGAGGAAACGTTATGCTGAAGTACAAAAATTCCTACAGAAGAACGTTGTTTCTTAACGTTCTTGGAACAATTTGAGATCATGACTTTAAATAGAACAATGAGGAAACGTTACTAAAGATGTGGTTTTTATGGAGTACTTGACTTTAAATAGAACCATGATGAAACGTTATGCTGGCGTACTGAAATTCCCAAAGAAGAACATTGTTTCTTAACGTT